TTCATTGCTTAATTTAAGCAGTGAGGTTACACATGGCTGCCCAATCTCGCTATTTCTCTTCAATTTTGTCACCGATGGTGTTCTGAAAACAGCTATGATGAACGTAGGTAATGGTGGTGTGTATCTGTTACCTGGAGAAAGATTTCTCGATCTTGAGCATATGGATTATATCGTCTTATTTTGCGACGATACCCAATCCGCACTCAATCAATTGGCAATTAGTGTTCGCAAGAATGGCATGTGCTTTCCACCTTCGAAGTGCAAAGTACTTTTACAAGACGGGTAGGACCCTGCCCTCGTCTAGTTAGCCTGGCCGTGTGCTTGTGAAACCATGCCTGTCCGAGTTGAGGAGGTTAGATGACTCTGTGTTTGATCATCATTGTCTCTGAAGTATTGCTGACAGACAGTGGCAACACTCTGTTAACGATCCAGAGGTTCGACAACGAATGTTTAGGCAAAGTGATAAGTCAATTAGTGTCACCATCTTCAAACACCAACTTTAATGGCTTGGACATGTACTATGAAGGTTGTCACAGCGAATTCAACATCGTGCATTATTTACCAATGCTGGGACTGGTTGGGAAACGTAGAGGTGGTCAGTGTATGAAATGGTGTGATAGTATGAAAGAAAGCTGTACAGGACTGGGATCTGATGGACCCTCACAACTTAGTTGGGTCCCTAGATATAGTGCAATATAGTGGTTTGGGACGCAATGATCATGCATGATTCAAAAGAGAAGTCAGGGGCGATCCTTCTGCAACTTTCTTTATAAAAGCGAGAGTAATTTCTATAACTGAGAGAATCCCTTCTGACTGTATTTCGTTAACTAAACTGCTTCCCCCATTATCATTATTATTTCACTGTCACACTAATTTCTGTTCATTGATATTGTGTGGCCCATATGCATTTAGTCCCCGTTGTACACATGTTTGTGTTCAAATAAATAGAGAAATAAGTCTTGAAATTAATACAAGCTTCAAAAATATCGAGAAATGAATACATTTCTCGTATAGTATTTGCCATTCATGCGCAAACTTCTTTGAGAAAATAATAATAAAAATGCATGCACAAGTTCAGTGTTATTGTTTTATTTAGATAAAAAGCTTTATACAGAAAGAGATCAAGAAAATGCATGAATACATGGAAGAGGAAATCGTAGGATAAAAACAATGAGTAGCGGAGGCTACCAATCGAATAGAAATACAACATATATTAAGGTAATCTTAAAAGTACATTTTATTGACCTGTGACTTAGGAGACTATTTAAAATGATATTCCTACAGCTTCTATTCGCACGCAGCTTTTTTGAACTTAATGACTCATGTTAGCTTTTCCTATTCAGTCCCATAGTCAGTACATAAACCTTTATAGACAGCATCTGAGATAATATACGTATGACCAAGGTCGAGAAGACTTCACTTTAATTTTTAAAGTACTTTCATATGACTGTGTTTATAATCCCCTTCGAAGGAATTTTTATTCACTAGGACAGTGGTCTTTCGACATACATTAGGTGACCGTCCGATATTTAGGCTAATTTATTGAACCCAGAAATTACACATAAGAGTTAAAAATAGCTTAATTTTAAACAACTGTTGTAGATATTTCAGGATCTCAAAACGAACGTATTAAACCACCTTCATTTATTTATTTTAACACAAATATTGGTATAAAGGAGCACAGAATTCATATGCATCACACAAGTCACTTGATTTGTGTGTGGGCTGTGATACTGCCCGGGTGCCCAGACCGAAGCAGGTGGTTTTCTTAAGGAGCCACACCCAGAGCCTTCGACCCAAAGGTCTGATCCACAAGGCACTGGAGCAACGTCGGGAGATGCAGTCCCACGGAAGCCGGTGACAAACGATCCTGGAGCCCGTGTGCATCACTGGTTTGAAACCAGAGTTTTCCAACCCTCCTAGGTGGAATCTCCATATCCACCAACCCGGTTAAAGCACCGGACCTTCGCTTTCCGTCCTTTCAATTTCGCAAACACCCCCGCCGCAAGAAGGCAGTGAGGACTTCCCTGGTAGTGGCTGTATACGCGTGGCCATGTGAGAGTATTTCGAGAGAAAGAGATAACTATCTCTACCCTCGGTCGTACCAGGGCATTTGGGGGCATTAAACTACTTTGACCACCATAAATTGTGGAGATACATTTAAAATTGCTTTGATGCCTTGTAGGTTACACTTAAGTATCCATGTGGTATAATACAATGCGAAATGAAAAATAAAAATAATAGGACTAGTACAAACTAAATATACCTCAAATAACTTTATTTACATGTAGCATAAATCAAAACTAGAGATTAAACCCTACAAAATGGATCCTTCATCTAAATAGATGTATCCTTTTTATAAACTAAATTCCAAAGGAACCCTCTACACGTAGTCAAGACAAGTGGACAACAACCACCTAAGTCTGTACGACAAGCCAATCTGGCTGAATGATCACATGGATGTACATTATCTTTCTTCCATGATTAAAATAATGAAGGTGAAATATTACAGGTTTCAAACAACTGAGAGTTAATGATAAGAGTACAATCTGGGACGAACGCCCAATTTGGTTTTAGTACATAGCGTATTACAACAAGCTGAGCAAAAATTACCAAGATGAAAAGTAGAAAAATATATCAATCACAATGGAGGTTTAAACGGGGAATAACTACTTAGTTGGTGGTTTCAAAATCAAATGAACACTTAATCATATCCTCAAGGGTAAATCGCTTATTTATTATAAATTGTTCGTACGTATGGTCAATGTATTAAATATACAAAAAAAGTGTTGTACCACTGACTAAATGATAAGAAGACCATGACTAGGCTTGTCGCCAAATGACCCCATCATAACCAGATACCTTCAGGAGAAAATTCTTTTCATTATTACTTAGTCACTGCTATAATTCTATTCCCGTATATTCACACTTTGTAGACACTCGTCATTAAGAATCAGCACTCTATTCGTGTGCAAGAGTACTCACCAGTTTTTTTATTGTTGTTTAGAATAGAGAAAACACTAAAATGTAGCACTTCATATTTGAGTATAATTCTTGTGGTTTTGGGAGTACATAAATCATTTTAAAACGTTTTTTTCGGACGGAAGGTACTAATTTAGTGTAGAATACCAGTTGGGAAGTTGGATTTTGTAAATTTAGGTACGAAGATAAAAAAAATTATTGCTTATCATAATGAACTAACAAAAGTATATGACACATGAGTATAAAAAATCCATTCAGTTTGAAATCGTTCCTTTCATCATTTCAAATGCAGCAACCATTTTTTCACGAGTTTCATTGAGAAGTTGATCAACTTGTGATTTATTCATCCCCTTAGTGTCAATTTTCGGTAGGACCTTCACTTTGTAAGTGGCTGAGTTATAAAAACAAACATGAACGATGTTATATTCGTCCTAAAATTTATATATTCTAACTTTTTAGTTTCTTGAACAGGAAAATAATTGAATGTAGTTTGATGCAAAACTATTTACAAATGCACAACCACTTGTTTACTACTACTGCAAGCTCTGAACAAAAAACCAGATGATGAAATAAGTACTGTATAGGTAATGTTAATATGTGATCTATAGTCCGTTTTGAGCTTCCCAAGTTATGAGCACTTAACTCATCTTATTACACATACTTTCAAGGTACATAAACAAAGGTCGAGTGGAACTGGTTAATTCATAATTACTCTCACTACTTAGTGCCAACGGTACAACCTGGACAACGGAGAACCTGAATTTCAAGATTGGCACCTACGGATAGTGTATGTAATTAGGTACAATTATTGTCCAGATAGTTGATAAAATGGATAAGGCAGAAAACTCAATAGTTGGAAATACATATTACCCAGCCAACCTGAGCTTTAGTAAGAGTACGTTTAGTTGCGTAATAAAGACTAATGTAAATCAACTATCAAGTTGATATCTTCAACCTACATTCATGTATAACAGAAAACTTTTGATGTAATAAAGAACTGAAAAATGCTACACTCAAGGTTGAACAAAATCTCGAAAAAATAGGAGGGAAATTGTAGGATTAATAAATGAATGAACAAGTGTTGAAATACAGGTAAACTGAAAAGACAGGGAAGACATATATCAATGAACAAGGTCCATTCTGCTTTTATGAGTACGACAGTCAGCAGTATTGTCGATGGTTACTATAAGGAATGTTTGATAATGCTTTAAGTTGGCGGGGGGGTTGCATGATCTCGAGAACTCACTCGAGATTATAGTAGGTCCCGGTCTTACACACTTATTTTCCAGCATACGGAGTCACAAACTAACTGGTTCGTCATCCTAAGCAGCTAGTGTCCGCAAACAACGTGCGGATTGCAAAATGTGGAGTCTATGATTAACCCAACGGTCATATAGCAAACGTTGTGAGAAACACTACCAAAAGAATGCTATTTAGTAATATAAGAACATGTTAGGCTAAAAAATAACGTTTTTCAGCATAAGTATCAACAATTCTTCCCTAACTTTCACCGAGATCACCGGTCATAAAGTGAATCCACATTTAAATTATTTTTCTAGGTGTGTTCGTTATGTCTACAAACTACATACTTGTTGTGCTACGCATACATATACGAAATGACTGCTAGTATCTTAATAGATGTAGCGAACTGAAAATATGGTCAAACGGGTGGGAACAAATACTTAAATTACTGAATTACTCAAACAGTCAATTAGCGAGACTAGTTTATTGACGATCCAATTAGATTAAGGATAACAGGTTTTGGTGCGAAACTCATTCATCTATTTGGCTAAATAGCGAACGCATTTTAGCCGACGTCAGTTCATGATGAAAACCCGAAATCGAACTCCTAAATATAGCCATTAGCTATAAACTAATCTTTGTTCTTGACACTAGTTTATAACTCTCATTTAGCCCTAGTAAACTGCTGGGCATTCACAAGGTCACTTTAGGGTTGCTCAAAGGTCGACCATGAATCACAGCCTCACTCGTCAATTTATTCCTGAACGTAAACTCACCACTTTTAAAAAGTTTCTTTTTGTGGTCAAGGAACTTTGCATACGGTTCAATAACAATAGGTTGGATCGGAAACTTAAACTTAGTGAGTAATATCAGGTATTACTTGACACTCGATGGCCATGTGAAATGCTCCCTTTTTAAAAGGCAAAAGATAACCGGCATCGGATCTTGTGCCCTCAGGAAAAATGAAAACCGAGACCTAGTGAAACAGTCAAAATGAAAAGAATTTACCTTATCCTGCTTGGCTTCTATGGCAGCTTTCTCCATGGCAGAAATAGCATCAGTATGATGGGATCGATCAATGGAAATAGTCTTGCTCAGCCACATAACTATTCCCAAAAATCCCATGAATCTAAGTGAAGCTTTGGAAACTACCGAGCAGCGTTTTGGCCATATGTCGCCCACACCTAAATTGTCACAGGAAGTAAGAATCTGTATGGATGTGTACCTGTGACATCTATGCAACTTTGATGATTCAAGACGTAAATACATGGTTCCCCGGACAGAAGATGGTCGTCCTCGACAACAGGATTTAAACCAACCACCCTTCCAGAAAATGCTAGATATTTTACAAACATCCTTGAAACGTTATGAGAGAAAAGTTATTACCAAGCATTTTCATATCTTCGGCCTTTGAAAGCCAATCGGATAGAATAAACAAATGACCCAATAAAGATCAATAAGAAGAAAACAGAAAATTTGACATAGTACTGTACTTTTGGAACCCGGTACAGTATGGGAATAGTGGCAAATAAGATAAACGCGTAATCTAACATACTCAACGGTCAATCTGCGCACGCTAAACAGCCAAACCCCAAAGTTGAGACTTTAGAACAAAAAAACAACCAGTTGTTCAACTTCATATATCCAAAGTTACTCGTGCAAGCAAGGCGCCCTTTCACTACAGAGCTTATTTCTCATGGTTTGAATTGATACATATAATTCATTTAGAACAAATATCTTACTTTATTTGAGAAAGTTCAAATAAGTTAGTTTGTTAACAGTTCGTGTCATCATTGAAATTTTACATCATTCCACTCACTTAGTAAAAATCCGGTGCTAACCAGAGACCTTTATTCAGGTTGACTTCCTCTAATCCAGTTCATTATCCTGATGTCTTAATGATTATCGTTCGCTAAATACGTGTGTTCGCATACACAACTCGTCCTGACTTTGTTGGATGTCATTTTCTAACTATGTATTGACACTGACACTATACACATTTTGTTTCATTTTATAAAGCATATTGACTGTCAATTACACGTTAACACTTTGGATCTGTGTCCGGCATGCGCTGCAAAGAACTCTAAAATTCGGTTTATAAAAGTCGAAAGTCCAAGTAACCAAATATACACGCATAGTGAGCGCAATCCACATGGAATTTTTTATCTGAATTTGATGGCCTCGTCGACCAAAAATCAGAGGATGCACCGTGTGACAAACTAAAGGCTGCAGTCATACGACGTACTTCAGCCTCAAACGAGAGACTCCTACCTCTATTGGAGACGTGACGTTGGTGACAGAAAGCAATCTTATTTTTCACGGTACTTGAAACGGTTAGTCGTAATCTAAAAGCTAGGCTGCCTAGCTTTTTAGAAAGATGTGGTTAACCAGGCTACCGTACAATGTAAAAGTATTTTGCGATTCTCATAGAGTAAGTGATGTACAAGTAGCAGTTGTAACGATCGGTGGAGATATGGCAAAAGATCCTAGATCCAACTCGTCAATTTACACATCTAAAAGCGACTATATTTGCTATGTCTGTACGAACAACAAATAAATGGTAACCTCTAGGGTTTAGTTATAGACAATTATTACATATGTTCTTATAGGATAATTATTAGGTAGCTTTATTACATATATATTCATATTCCTTTTGTCGTAAGCTTTGCTTTGACCTATTGACTACTATTAAACGATTTAGTATTCTTACGTTATTCTGAATTTATCAGTTACAGCCCCAGTGACTTGATCTTGTACAACTATAACTTTTCGTTTTATGTGGCAGTCTGCTCTGCCTATATTTAAACTGAGTATGTCCGAAATAAACGATTCACACGGCAGAAGCTGATGCTTATGTTCCTGACTGAAAAGGCTAGGCTAAGCTATAAGGTACTATGTCAGAAGACGAATAAGAACTCAGAGATAACGCGAGGCTGCTAGTGCTGGTCGGCTTATCATTAGTTTAGCACAGGGAATAGGTCATATAAAAAGATCTTCTGACTAGCTATTTTATCATGTAATAAGTGACAGATGCAAGGGTCATAACAATATTTAGCATTCATTCCATGAGTATGAAGTCTTCTTTCAGAAATTAACCATTCTGCAGGTTCGGGTCAAGACCGATAAAACTAACAGTAGATATCAATCGGTACCGTAAAGAGTATGGTAAAAATGCACGGAAACCCACAAGATCGTATGGCTTTCCAATAACTGCCCGGTACATCTCCGGAAACGGGCCAGTCAGATAGCTATGGTGACAACTATCTCTGGCCACATAAATAGTCGTCTTCACGTCTGAGATACAACAACAGGCATGGAATTTCTCGTTGATACCATTATGGAGGTTAACATAACCCCACCAATATTGTCCAGACCAAAACGTCCTACATGAAGCAACAACTTTTTAGAAACGTAAAATAGGGCTCACATCCCTAATAGTGGAGAGCGACCACTAGGACTAGACTGCGGCTCAGGTAAAACATAATAGTTTGGGAGCAGATTTCCAAAATTTTCACAAATTACTTATTAACATGAATGAAAAGAAACTTATCATTGCGAACTAACTACTTCCAATTATTGGCCTAATTGTTAGCAGTAAAATTTGTTCCATCCACATAATAAAGCGGAAAAAAGTACATCCCTTGATAATTTGTATGAGTATTGCTAAATCAGAAGACCTGGATACCATGTTGACAAATCATATCACTATATAAAACACAACATCTTTACTAAAATCCAACCATTCAATGCAAAGCCATATAGACTGACCCTGAAAAAGTAAAAATCGTCAAGATGTAGTTCGAAACATGACGGAGTTGGGCATCATTTGACAATCAATAGCTCATGGGCTTCTCCATTAAACACGGTAGCACAGAACGATAGTGATTGCTATTCATGCGGGATTATCATTGTTTGAATGTTCAGACCACAATAGACAAATACCCTATTTAGTATCTCATTGCAAGGAAGGTGATTGACAATAATGACACATCATAAACGGTTGCGTAAATCAGTCAGCACGTTCTATGATCAATCTTCCCCATGTGAAGTACGTGTGGTGTTTGTATTGTAACGGTAAATAAAACCCCAAAATCAACAGCTCTCTAAGTCTTCGACGTTTGATGCTGACCACATTAGTTTCAATAGATCAGACTATCTGAAGGCGTTCGGTCACACATTCGCACCACTTCACGAGTGGGAACGCTATGTTCAACTTCTCCTAAAACCGCTAGCCAGTTACTTCTCGATATATATAACAACAAATATGTCGTTGAACCTCTTTGCTTATGATTTCACTGGGTGGGCACGTTTCAATTAAAGGTGTTACTGGTTAAGGTGTTATCGAGCTCCAAATACTTGTGGTATATTCAGTATGAACTTACGATCCGTTGCGCGCCTGATTTTGAATTCCAAATGCAATAGTTCTGTCTACTAAGATTGTGCTGTTTTGGAGATTTCTAGTTCGTGGCTGATGCATTATCCTAAACAGAAATCAGTTCTTCAACCCAGAGGTCAAATATTGATACAGGTACAGGCAGATTATACTGATTTAAAAGTCTGCGAAGTAAGATCTACATTATTGCTTAAACAGGTCCCAACTACTATTATCATTTAGGATGCTGTTGAAGATACTAGTCGTTTTTTTAATATCCCACGCATAAATCAAGCATTTCAACACCCTAATTTGGTGTCAAACCCTGGAATTACAGTAAAGCGTGGTGTCGAGTCGAGGTTGATTATGAGCACCACTACAGGGAAACGCATACCAAATAAACCAGAAGGCGAAGATTGAAAGTAACCAGATTTATTCGTTGGCGATCTCGTGGTATCTAAAGGATACCGAGATCGTGCCAAAGGGGTACAAGTGGAATCAGCGGGCAAGAGTACGAACGTACGAGGTCACAATCCGAGGAAAAGTAATGGAGAGTAATGGAGTAGGAATATGGCTGTCCTTAGCACAGTTAAACAAGCGAGCACAGTAAAACAATCACCGTTACAATTAGTTATAATAATGATTGTTTCCATTAAATCAATCGCGTTCTCCTGATAAAAGTAGGTCACTACAACAGCAACAACCAGATATATAGCAGAACGTTTCGTTTGGTATCACATGAGTGCAGATGTTAGAATGTGGCAGAGATGTTCATCCAGTCCCAACACAAGACCCAACCACACACATTCTGCACACTATGTAAATTCTAAACACCATATAGAAAATTTCAACAGGTGCACTTGGACACTGTCACTCCTTTCCATTATCCAATTCTGTTGTTCGTAAATTTATTGCAAAGATGGATTCACTAAATGAACTGTAGCCTGTCCCATAAATGATACCGCATCAAAATTTTTAGCTTCAGTAATCCTTGATTGTTGGATTGCCTATTATGGCGTCCCACTTACCATCACTACTGATCGGGGTCCCCAGTTTCAATCAGTTTTGCTCGGAGAATTTGTAGAATTATGGTCTACTATGATATTAGTACTGCTCTAATAATAGACCTAATCCTAAACTTGTCGATTTGTCATGATATAACTGCCTAATCTATAAGATCTTACGTGGAAGTCACACCATCGACTACACCAACTCACTGTATCGTATCAATTACCAATACATGATGAGGAACAAGGTTAGGCTAGAGAAAGAACAATATATTTAATATGAATAGAAGATATAAAGTAACACTGAGATGGACCACGCCTGCATGGACGAGCCATGCCACTCGATCAACTCCAGTCCATTCAAATCATTGTTCGCGCCTTCTCCATTGTTAGGTATTTATCCGCGTTAAATATTGAATATCTATTTTCTGAGTAGTCTTGTGTTCACAGCTTTGTGGATTGTGTGGCTATTGTCCAATGCCACTACAAATTCACTAAACTGTCAGGAACATGCTACATAAAAACAACAGCCTACCACCTAGCAGCTAAAGGCCTCGTAGAATGATTTCACCGATAATTAAGAAGCTCACATATGTCTCTGGCCAATACAACCAAGTAGAGCAATGTCCCACCTTTTATTCTCCTGGGAATACTTCCAAAGTTGAGAGAAGACATAGGATGCACATTAGCCAATTTAGTATGTGTAACGAATTTAGAGCTTCTTGGCTAACTAATTAATAACAATGAAAAAATACAAGGAACTGCAATAACTTTTTCAAGCACATTACTACGAACCACGTAGCAACTAAAGCTAATACCAACACGTGTGAACGTACAACACGAACAAGCAAATAACTATCTAAAAAACACAAATTCGACTTTGTTCAAATTGGCGCTGTCGGTATACCACCAACCCCGCTATCCGAAGGGCCACTTGAAGTCACAAAATGAACAGAAAAATATTTCATCGCTGAGAAAAATAGTAAGAAAAACACTCTTTATAGACAGACTAAAACCTACTTCCCTAGATAGTCAATGAAAACAGCAAATCCTAAAACTAAGTGAAGAACCTGACCTCACGGAACCACCAAAACCAAAAATCAACGTCAAATGAGTAGACACGGACTTATCTACAACTCGCTACGGCGGAATCATCAATAGACCTAAACGTTAT